AATGTGGGGTCAAGATTGGTGGACGATTTATCAACAATCTGCGTCACGCGGATGACACAACCCTGCTTGCTGAAACTGAAGAGGACCTGAAGCGCCTGCTGCAGAGTGTCAAGGACTGCAGCCTACAATATGGATTGAGGCTCAATGTCAAGAAGACAAAGATTCTCACCACTGGACCAATTGGCAGCATCAGGATGGATGGTGAAGAGATTGAGATTGTACACAGCTTTAGTTTGCTTGGCTCCATAGTCAACAGTCTTGGCACCAGCAGCCAGGAAATTAAAATGCGCATTGCCATGGGAAAGTCTGCTGTTAGGGACTTCTCCAAAGTACTGAAGAGCAATGGTGTCTCTCTGGAGACTAAGGTGCATCTGATACAGGCTATGGTCTTCACAATCACTTGTTATGCATCAAAGAGTTGGACAGTGACCAGAGAGGATAGAAGGAGAATTGATGCCTTTGAGCTGTGGTGCTGGAGAAGAGTATTGAGAATACCATGGACTGCTAGGAAAACAAACAGATTTGTCCTGCAAAAGGTTAAACCGAGTGGCCCCTTGGAGGCAAAGATTCTGAGGTTCCATCTAACATACTTTGGACATGTTGTGAGGAGGGACCGGTCCCTGGAGAGGGATATCATGCTTGGGAGGGTGGAGGGACAGCGCAGGAGAGGAAGGCCCTCTATGAGGTGGATTGATTCAGTGACTGGGATAATTGGGATGGTAGTGTCAGAGACAGTGCAATTGGCACAGGACAGAGCAGAGTTTAGGGCTGTTGTACATAGATAGGGTCGCTATGAGTCGCAAGCGACTGGACGGCACATAACAACAACAACAACAACAACAACAACAACATAAATAGCTTAAGACGAGATGGCCCCTATTGTTTAAACAGAATGGCTTGTGGTTTCAAACTGGTAGAAGAGTATTAGGTTAGTAGGACAACCCCCAGGGTTCATAAACACTGTATTAATATATTTTCTTTAGAAAATCCTTAATAATATAGACATGTTGTTTAGTGGTATTTTTACGTGAATAAGAATCATTTAATAAGAAAATATATGCAGATTATTTATCAATCTCATAGGAATAAAATATTAGACAAAGCAAATAACCTTGAATTAAAGTCTTTCCATTTGAGTGAATAATACGCTGTTTACATTATTGCCACAAGGTGGCGCCACAGTGATAATTGTAGCTTGTAGACTACTTCTTCCAGCAGTTTCCTCAATATTTACAAAATTATGTATCTTATTTATAATAATACTTGCAGTTTAAAATTTATACCTAAATGAAAATTTTCTATATAAGATGTATGAATTCTAACTTGTTGCCAACTAACTTTGAAATTCTTCCTCGTTCTTTAATGACTAATATTTTTTCACAGGAACATGTAATTTTTTTAACAATTTCTACTTCTGTGGTCAATTTGATAATTTTCAATTTGTCAGTAATATAAAGGAAGCCATAAAAACATCATTGTACCACTATCTCTTGCCCATAGAGGAGTATATATATACATTCTTCCAGGAGATATCTCTGGCTCAAAGGAAATGGAACTGCCAAATCTGAAAACAATAGGGTTAAATTCTTCTAACAACTTTAGGCCAAAAGGGGGGTCTAGTGGTAATCCAAAGGTGGTGGTGTTGTTATGTGCTATCAAGTTGCCTGCAACTCATAGCCACCTATGTACAAACCCCTAAACCCTGCTCTATCCTGTGCCAATCTTGTCTCTGACCCACCTACCCCCATTGCCCCAGTCATTGAATCAATCCCTCTCATTGAGGGTCTTCTTCTCCTGTGCTGTCCCTTCACCCACCCAAGCATGAAGTCCCTCTCCAAGGACTGGCCCCTCCTTGCAACATGTTCAAAGTATATCAGATGAAGCTTCAGAATCCTTGCCTTCAAAGAGCAGCCTGTCTTCACCATCTCTAGGATGAGCCTCTTTGTTCTCCTAGAGAATACTACTAGAATACTCTTCTTTAGCAATACAGCTCAAAGGCATCAATTTCCCTTCTATCATCCCTAGTCATTGTCCAACTTTCTGATGCATAGCAAGTAATTAAAAAGACTATGGCCTGAATCAGGTGTACCTTAGTCTCCAGACTGACATCATTGCTCTTCAGTACTTTGGAGAGGTCTCTGACAGCAGACATCCCAATGCAATTTGTCTTTTAATTTTCTGGCTGCTGGTACCTGTGTGTTAATTTTGGAGGCAAGCAAAATAAAGCTGTTAACAATCTCAATCTCTTCACCATCTATTGTGATGCTGCCAGTAGGCCCAGTGGTGAGAATTTTTTTTGTTGATGTTGCTCTTCAATCCATATTGAAGTCTGCAGTCCTTGATCTTCAGTAGCAAGTACTTCAGGTCCTCCTCAGTTGCAGGAAGCAGAGTTGTGTTATCTGCATGACGCAAAATGTTGATGAATCTTCCTCCAATCCTGATGCTGCATTTCTCCTCATAGTGCCCAGCCTCCTGGATAATCTGTTCTGCATAGAGGTTTAAAGGTATGGAGAAAGGACACATTCCTGGCATACCCCTTTCCCAATTTTGAAACATGCAATGTTTTCTTGCTCTGTTCTGAAAACTTCCTCTTGGTCCAAGTATACACAGTTTAAATCTACCAGTTGCTCCACACTAGAAAGAGACTATCTCCTCTGAGTGTAATTTATGGTACCTGAAACCTACTGGAGGGTCAGCTATGAGTCAGATTTCACTTGAAAGCATATAACAACAACATTAAATAATATAATTTGTCTTCTACCATAAAATAATTTGTATTTTTTCAAATATTAACCACTGAAATAAAAATGGTTTTATTGCTTTGTCACTTCTTAATTAGCTGTGGGGTTAAAAATGTTTTACAATTTTAGTGAGCGTCTATTTCATTTTGCTCAATAACACCTCTATGAATTTCTTTGCCAAATGTTTTAGGAAAATGTTATTCCCCCCTCTTTTAATTAATCAGAGTTATTAACTGAATTTGTGACATTATTATTGAGTTTCAAAAATGATTGTTTTTCAATAGCATCTGAGTCTTACTATTTATGTAATCAAATTCTTAAGGCTTTTTTCCCTTTCTGTTTAAGAATGTCCCAACATTTTAAATCCCTACAGAGATATTCTCCATTGTTTGTAACACACCATTGGGATGTTGCTTTTGTTTTATTTGTTATTGTTTTGTACTATTGTGTTGGGAACAACTCATAGTTGACCTTCCAGCAAGTTTTCAGAAGCAGTAAATCACACAGGAAGAGACTGCTCATCATTTTGTGGAGTAGCTGGTGGCTTTGAACCACATGTCTTTGGGATTGCAGCATGACTTATCAGTAGGTCAGCAGAGCTTGTTGTTGTTATGTGCCATCAAGTCACCTGCGACTCATAGTGACCCTATGTACAACAGCCCTAAACTATGCACTATTCTGTGCCAATCTCACTCTCTCTGACACACCTATCCCCATTACCCCAGTCACTGAATTAATCCATCTCTTTGAGGGTCTTCCTCTCCTGTGCTGTCCCTCCACCCTCCCAAGCATGATGTCTCTATCCAAGGACTGGTCCCTCCTTGCAACATGTCCAAATTAGGTCACTCAGATGAAGCTTCAGAATCCTTGCCTCCAAGGAGCAGCCAGCTTCACCCTCTCCAGAACAAACCTGTTTGTTTTCTTAGCAATCCATGGTATATTCAATACTCTTCTCCAACACCACAGCTCAAAGGCATCAATTCTTCTATCATCCCTAGTCATTGTTCAGCTCTCTGATGCATAGCAAGTGATTGCAAAGACCATGGCATGTATCAGGCACACCTTAGTCTCCAGACTAACTCCTTCCCTTCAGCACTTTAGAGAGATCTCTAACCACTGACTTTCCCATCACAATTCATCTTTTAATTTCCTGGCTGCTGGTGCCAAGAGTGTTGTCCGTGGAGGCAAGCAAACCAAAACTGTGAATAATCTCAATCTCTTCATCATCCATCCTGATGCTGCCAATTAGTACAGTGGTAAGAGTCTTTGTTTTCTTGATATTGAGCCTCAAACCATAGTGAAGACTGCAATCTCTGATTCCACATCAGAGCTTATGTTTAATTAAAAATAAAACACAAGCGAAACAAACCACAAAGCCCACTATCACCCCACCTTTTCAGTCCCCACTGTATCTTTCCTAATTCCCTCACTCTTCTCTCTGTATTGGTGATTGATTTTCTAAAACAGTGACTGGAAATGACTGTATGAAATACAACATAAGTGAAGGAAAGTGTGAAACAAAATGTATGTGAATAAAACACAATGTAAATACATTTTGTGTGCAAAGTATTATAAATTAAAAAAAAACCCAAACCTTAAAAATGAAAAAACACCCATACATCATTTCTATGGCATTTTCAGTTTTTATAACGGTCTCACTCATTGTCATTGGGTCAGATCTAACTCAAAGCTGATCCTCCAGGAGGTCTCCCGAAGCTGTAAATCACGTGAGAGGTGGTTGTCCATCTGTTTCCTGAGGAGTCACTGATGGATTCAAACCACTCACATTTGGTTCGGCAGCACAACTCCCAACCCACTAGGCCACCAGAACTCCCTTTTCTAACTGTATAACTATCCCATTGTAACTTACTAAATAGACCTTTTTACCCATTATATTTTTATTATTACCTTTGTCTTATACCAGTTCCATATATACATGATTTTTTGTTTAGATACACTCTTCTTTTCGACAGTTGAACAAAATAAAAACATTCTTACACAAAGAAATATCATGGATCAGAGAATGAAAATGGGACTCCAAAGTGATAATGGGACCCCCAGAATGGAAATGGGATTCCCATATCTAAAGGATTTTTTATGTGATCTGGGGTGACATCATTGACAGATGAGCTGAACCTGGGAACCTGTTCATCTGATTTCCTATTCAGCATTCTTCTCTTTTGCTACAAACTATGATTGGAGAACAACAAGAAAATAGGTCACTTTACCCTCTTTTCTCTTGGTTCTTTTCAGAAACAGAGGAGTATTCAGGCTGTAGCAAGTCTCCATGCCAGAATGGGGGCACGTGTATCAATGGAAGAACTAGCTTTATCTGTGCTTGCCGGCATCCTTTTGCTGGTGACAACTGTACTGTGAAACTGGTGGAAGAAAGTGCCTTAGCTCCGGGTAAGAACAGCACACACATGTTTGGATACCCTCAAAAGCATAAAGAGGAACTTTTTAAAAAAAATGTGCATCAGTGAATATTTCCTTTGGCTTAGTCCAAATTTATTTACAGTTAATTCCTTTTACTTCTAAAATATCTGGGAGTGTAAAATGCCCACATACAAGTAAAAATGTGTTTTGTCAGGTAAGTTTCTATTCACGGGCACTTCTTTGAACATTTTTATATTGTTATTTTAATGGTTTTGGTGTTATTGTTAAATATTGAATATGAAGAGTTGAATATGGAATATTGGAAATACTCTCCTCTAGCCCCTGTTTTTTGCTTGGTGTGATTCAAACTCCCAACCTTGTGCTTAGAGGCTGAGCATTTAACACTTGTACCAGATGTTCCACAGTAGAAAGCTGAGCAGTGTTGTCTCACACAGATTGACAGTCTGGAAACCAGTAGAAGTTCAGTATTTTTCAGAATCAACCAATAGCAGTGGGTTTGGTTTTCGTTTTTAGAAATTTTCTGTTCTCAAGTTGTTAAAGAAATATACCTTTGATTCACATTAGATACTGAGGTTTTACAAGGCATTTTAGTAGATGCTTAGCATGTTAAGCTAATATTACCATTATGATTATAACTGTCAGAAAGTTCTCTAGTTTACTGAGTAAAACAAAGTGCCTCCTTTGCCTATTTGCTAAGTATTGGTTACATTGTTTCAAGAGGGTATCATTGCCTGGTATAATAATTTAGATAGAGATAGAATGATCACATAACTTGGAAAATGCAATCAATTAAACACACTCTAATCAATGCCTCTGAACTATATCCATAGAAATTGTTGAACTGGCAAATGCTCATTTGTGAATATTATCACCACAACAATGTAAGGGTATCATGTGCCATTTCTGATTTTCCTTCTGGAAAGTGTATGTAACGTTTAGAATGTGTTGTCTTTAATGACAGGAAAAAAATACATTTGTAACCAAGCTCTTTACCAAAAAAATAATATACTACATAGTGAAGAAGAAATTTTTAGTCTATTTTTAGATCTCAGCTTTTGTACATGTATTTGCCATTAATTACATAGAAAATTGCTTTTGTCTACCTCTTTATAGTGCAGATGACTTCATTTGGTTTCCATTTTAACCTCTAGAAACTGTTTGACAAGATAGTGGGAAAATTGTTTCTACATGATGTCAGCTTCGATTCCTGCAAGGAGTTTTAAACCGCTCTGGCATACCATAATAATCACAGCGCATTTTGATCCCTTTAGCTCTGGGGAGATCAAAGACACATGTAAATTAATCTTTGAGGCTTTTCTGCCAGGGAGGTATCCAGTATGGTTTTTTTCCATTCTGTTCTGGGGAAACTGAGGATTTTTAAGGAGAAATGGCAGGAACAGAGAGAGCTTGGCAGCCAGACATGTCTGTCCTTGATAAACCTGATGAATGACTTTTTTTTTTCCCCGATAAATTTTCCTATCTCTAAGACATAAAGATAAAGATAGAAAGGAAGATAAAATAAGATAAAACATATGATAGTTAACTCTTTCCATTTTTTATTTTCTTTAACAGATTTTTCCAAAGGCTCTTACAGGTATGCCCCGATGGTGGCTTTTTTTGCATCTCAGACCTATGGAATGACGACACCGGGTCCGATCTTGTTTAATAACTTGGATGTCAATTATGGAGCCTCATATACTCCCAGAACTGGAAAATTCAGGGTTCCTTACCTTGGCGTGTATGTTTTCAAGTACACGATTGAATCGTTTAGTGCTCATATCTCTGGATTTTTAGTGGTTGATGGAATTGACAAGCTTACATTTGAGTCTGAAAATATTAACAGTGAAATACACTGTGATAGGGTTTTGACGGGAGATGCCTTGTTAGAATTAAATTTTGGGCAGGAAGTGTGGTTGCGACTTGTCAAAGGAACAATTCCAGCCAAATTGCCGCCTGTTACTACATTTAGTGGTTACTTATTATACCGCACATAAATATGAAGGGCAGACTATCACCTGTATTGGAAGACTGCCAGTGTTTTTATTTTCTTTGCATGCATATCTGCTCAGTTGGTCTATTTTTTTTTTTACACAAAATGAAAATCAACAAGTTTACTTTCTAAATCTCAGTAATGCTGTAAGTTTATTTTGTAAAATCATTTGAATCTCATTTAGACAACCATATATGATAGAGCCCATCTTGCTTCTAAAGATATTTCATGGCAAAAGGATGGGAAAACATTTACTAGCAAAACTGCTCTGCTTTTGCCAATTTAGGTAATTTAGGTTGTTTCAATGCAAAATCATCTTAGAAAATTGCAATCATGCAAAATATTCACAAGATCTTTTCCAAAAAATTAACTTTTTGCTACTCCCTGCTTACACAAATAGATAATACACTTTTCCTAAATTCACTTATCCAAATAAACTATTCAAAGACTAAGAAATACTTTTTCAACTATGGTTTTTATTTCTTACTGAATTAAAATATTTTTAAAAATTGTAATAAAAATTAAGAAGTTGAATTGTTTCTTAGAAGGTCCCATTCATCTATTTTATCTTCTCCCGGTTGTAGATTTTAAATCCTTATGCACATCTAAAAACTTCTCCAATAAAGTAAAAAGGGAAGCCACAGACTGGGAAAAAGTATTTGGTAATGACATGTCAGATAAGGGACTTATATCCAGAATTTATAAAGTACTTGAACACCACAATAAGATAAAGATAAGTAATCCAATTGAGAAATAGGCACAGGATATGAACAGACACTTCGCCGAAGAAGACATTCAGATGGCCAACAGCCACATGAAGAAATGTCCAAAGTCCCTAGCTCTAAGAGAGATGCAAATCAGAACAACTATGAGATATCACCTCACCCCAGTAAGAATAGCAAAATAGAACAGAACAGCAAGCAACAAATGCTGGCGAGGATGTGGAGAAACTGGAACTCTTATTCACTGTGGGTGGGAATGTAAGATGGTGCAACCATTGTGGAAGGCGGTGTGGCGCTTTCTCAAAAAATTGGGGGGGGAGGGGGGAGGGGTTTGTGCGGGGAGAAGGGTGCAACAATGAATGAATGGAATTCCAAAATCTCTGTAGATGTTCATTGAAATGAAAAATAAACAGCCTAAATTTTAAAAAAAAATTGCAAATAGAGATACCATTTGACCCAGCAATCCAATTACTGGGAATATACCCCAGAAAGACCATGTCTGCCATCCAAGCAGATATATGCACACCCATGTTTATCGCAGCTTTGTTTACAATAGCAAAGAGTTGGAAGCAACCTAAGGGCCCATCAACAAATGAATGGATAGAGAAGCTGTGGTATATCCACACAATGGAATACGCCACATTGAAAAACAAGGAACTCATGCAATATTATTCAAAATGGGTGACCCTGGAGGACCTTATGCTGAGTGAAATATCCAGTCACAAAGGGACAAATATTGCATGGTGCCACTGTTGTAGAATGGGTCTGACATCAGGGTTGGGGTATGACAGAAAAAACCGGATAAATGATGTATATTGTATTGAAACAGATGAGGGAAAGAACAGATTAGAGGTGACATATGATTATTTTGGTTAGCACAGGAATCCAGAATTAAGGTTGCAAGAGAAGTGTACTCAGGGTGGGGGTTGGGGGGGAGGGATGTGGGAATTTTATACAAATGAAGGAATTTTTTTTCTTTTTCTTTTCGGAGCGGGGAGCGAACTGGTGGGGAGGGGTTGGCAGTGAGAAAAGTGAGGCAATGAATGAATGAAAATCCAAAACCTCTGTAAATGTCTATTAAAATTAATAAAAATTAAAAAAAGAAGTTGAATTGTTGTTGTTGTTATGTGCCATCAAGTCACCTGCAACCCATAGTGACCCTATGTACAGCAGCTCTGAACCCTTTCCTGTTCTGAGCCAGTCTTACTAATTCACCAAACTCCCATAGCCGCAGTAACTGAATCAAGCCATCTCATCTGGGGTCTCCCTCACCTGTGCTGTTCATCCACCCTTCTGAGTGTGATGTCCTTCTTCAATGACCAGTCTTTCCTGGCCACGTGCCCAAAGTATGTGAGACAGAGCTTCAAAATGCTAGCCTCCAAGGAGAAAATTGGTTTCACCTTCTCCAAGACAGACCTATTTTGTTTTCTTAGCAGTCCAGCAGAAACTCACAATATATTTAACTTTTTATTTTCCCATTTCTGTAATTATCAAATAAAGTAATTAATGATAATTGCTTGAACATTTTCATCCAAGCCTCAGGATCCATAATTACATTCTTTGCTTTTCCTCACTTTATAAATTCTACGGCAAAAACATAAAAGCTTCTTTCTGTCTCTCTAGCTTTGCAATCAAGTCAGAACTGACTTACAGCTGACCCTCCAGTAGGTTTTTGGAGGCTATAAAGCACATGAGAGTTGATTGCCTGTCTTTCACCTGTGGCTCTGTTCTTTTTTCTCTAATTATCTGGGTTAACAGAACAGCTGAAAGAAGACAGACCTCCATCAACCTCATCAACAGCACAAAGTCCCTTCTGATAAAGTCATGAGTCCCATGCTCATGCACACCTTCTGTCAATTCTAACACAAACTATCCCTCTCTCATCACGTGCTACTCCCTTACTCACTGCCTTTGAGTGGGAATTAACTCTTAACTGATCCACCGTTGGGTTTCTGAGGCTGTAAGTTGCCTGAGAGGAGATCGCCCATCTTTGTTCCTCAGAGCTGCTGGTGGATTCAAAGCACCAGAAAAGGTATGTCCTTTCAGTTACCAGCACAACTCCCTGTGACTACAGCACCGTATCTCTCGTACTCCATTAGTTGTTGTTCCTATGGACAGTGGAGTCAGAATCGACTCGTTGCTGACCCCCAAATGGGGTTTCAGAGGCAGTAAATCACAGTGGAAGAGATTGTCCATCTTTCTCCCAGAGAGTAGTTGATGGATTTGAACCATGTGACTTCGGGTTGGCAGTGCAGTTCCTTATCACTAGTCTACCACAGCTCCCTTAGCTCCATTAATAGAGTTGTTTATTCATTGCATTGCCTACAAAGAACTCACAAATTTTGTTCAGGATTACAAGATTTATTTTGGAAGTGACAAGTTCAATTTAGGTCAGAAAAACTCAGGATTTCAGGTCAGAAATCTTTCAGGACAACTTTTTCTAATTATGCTTCCAGATAGACCATACTCTGACCATCGGCCTTCCATGCAGGAAGAGGATTATAAACTTTTTTAAATCTGCCAAATATGTGTAGCTCCCTCCACTTCCTCTGGCAGTCAGTGAAGCAAAGGCCCTGGGCTCTGACTGTGGGTGTCAGTTCTAGTTCAGCTCCATCTCACACTGGTTTCTGGTTCTCCATCACCTACGCTGCTGATGGTTCTGCCATGCCTCGGCCTCTTAGTCTGTCTTGAGCAGAACTCTCTGGTTGAATTAGAGCACTCTCTACTTCTTTTTTCTTATTAGTAATGAGGTTCCCTTTTTTGCTTCTGAACCTGCTCAATGTAAATCTGAAAGGGTCACAAAAACTGACCAGTGCCTTTGTTAGTAATCACCCCACCTTATTTTTATATCCCCACTAGCATTCTTGTGGGGATTGGGATGTGAGTCACAACAAGCTATGACTAACATTGAGAATAATGGGACTCTCAGAACACTTAATTGTGCTCATGCAAAATGAAGAAGCTGTTACTCAGACGGAACAAGGGAACACTGTATGGTTTAAAATCAGAAAGGGTCTGCATAAGGGATATAAATTTTCTCTATACCTATTTAATCTGTATATCAAACAAATAACTTGTGAAGATGGACTCAATAAAGAAGAATGTGGCATTGGGATGGGAGGAAGACTTGTCAAAAAACTATGTTATGCTGATAATACAAACTTGCTTGCTGAAAGTAGGGAGACCTAAAGTGCTTGTTACAGAGAGCAGCAGATCAAAGACTTTGATATGAATTGCATCTTAACATCAAGAAGACAAAGGTCCTCACCACTGAGCCGGTGGGTAACATCATGATAGATGGAGTGAAGATAGAAACTGTTAATGATTTTGTCTTGCTTGGATCTGCCACCAACACCCTTTGTATTGCTTTAGGCAAGTCCCTGTCAGGAATCTCTCTAAAATAACGAAGAGCACTGATGTCAGTTTGAAGATTAGTGTGCCTGGTCTTTTCAATTACTTGCTATGAATCTGAGAGCTGGATAACGAATAAGGACGACAGATGAAGAGTTGATGCTTTTGAGTTGTAGTGGTGAAGAAGGGTATTGAAATATCCCAGGCACAACCAAAAGAATGAACGGGAATGTAAGTGGAAGAGGTGCAGGTGGAGCGCTCCTTAGAGGCAAGGATGATAAAGCTTCATCTCTCATACTTCGGGCATGTTGCTAGGAGAGAGTAGTCCTTGGAAAAGGATATCATGCTTGGAAGGGTGTAGGATTAGTGAAAGAGAGGAAGACATTTATTGAGATGGACTGACATGATGGCCTGCTTCAGCAATGGGCTCAAGCAAATCAGAGATGCTTAGGATGGCACAGAATAGGATAGGATTTGTATCTGTTGTCCATAGGGGTCTCTATGAGTTATACTTGACTTGCTGGCATCTAAAAACAACAGCAGCAGTATTAACAGCATGATTGATGGCAGGTGGGTCTACAAACAATCGATTTTTATAATCCCACCCGGCCATGGGAATACCACGTGGCACAATTAAGTGTTCTGGGATCCCCATTCTTCTCAACGTGACTAACAATGATGATAATGGGAATCTCAAAACTTTTAATCATATTCATGAAAAACCTAAACTTAGACCAAGAAGCTCTTGTGTAAACAGAGCAAGGAAAAACCTACACAGCTTAAAATCAAGGAAGATGTGTGTCAGGGCTGTATCTTTTCTCTGTGTCTGTTCAATCTGTATACGGAAACAAATAATTCTAGCAGCTAAACTGTGTGAAGAAAAATGTGGCATCAGGATTGGAGGAACACACATTAACCACTTGCACTATGC